CTGAAGTCAATAGAAGCATGATCAGGACTTGTACCATTAAAATCCTTTTGGATACAGACAAACCTTAAAGCAGACGAAAATTGCAACTGTGAAGGGTACATCTACACTGCAGCTCGGGGTGTGATTTGCAACTCTTGTAGACATACCAGTGTTGGCTTTAATCTAGCTAGCTCTCTAAAAATAGTAGCGAGGAAGTGGTAATGTGGACTTCTGCTTGGGCTGCTAAGCCCACCTAACCCCGTAGGTACATATTCACTTGAGCCGCCCACGCCACTGCGCTTTCAATGCTATTTAATATGAGCTAGCTAAATTAAAGCTAGTGTGAGTAATCTACACAAATTGCAAATTACATCCCTTGTCCCAGTGTAGACATACCCCACAACTTCAGCAATGCCCAAAAAGTCCCAGTTGTGAAAAAGGCCAATATGATTCTGGGGTGTATTAATGAGAGTGTCAAATGTAAGATATGGGAGGCAACTGTCCCATTCTATCTGGCACTGGTGAGGCCTCAGCTGGAGTACTGTGTCTAGTTTTGGGTGCCAAACCTTAAGAAAGATGTGGACAAACTGGGGAGAGTTAAAAGGAGAACAACAAAAATATAAAAGGTTTAGAAAACCTGACCTACAGGGAAAGATTAAAAAAAAACCTGAGCATGTTTAGTCTTGAGAAAAGACTAACATCCTGATGAGCGGTCCTGATGACAGTCTTCAAATACTTTCCAGGCTGTTATAAAGAGGACAGTGATCAATTGTTCTCCATGTCCAGTGAAGATTGGACAACTAATGGGCTTAATCTGCAGCAAGGGAGATTTAGGTTAGATATTAGGAAAAGCTTTCTAACTATAAGGGTAGTTAACCATTGGACTAGACCGCTAAAGGAGTGGAATCTCCATTACTGGACATTTTAAAGAAAAGGTTGGACAAACACCTGTCAAGGTCCTGCCTCAGCAAAGGGGACTGGATATGATGACTTCTTGAGGTCCCTTTCAGCCCTACATTCCTATGATTCTATGACATGCACTAGCTACTGTCCAAACATAGAGGAAATAGAGTTCCATGCTCCAAAGAGCATCCAACATACTAAGAAGGCAATGAAAGAAACTGTGTAGGGGGGGAAACAATACCCAAGCAAAGTAATATGGCTGATGATAGGTACGTCTTGCTACTTACATTTGTTTTCAAATTAAACAAGGCAATAAATTCCTTACCCCTTACCCTCCTTTCCTCCCTCCACAATTCAGTCTACATCTTTTGTCATAGTAATTTCTAGATTCAGCTCCAGTGTCTTTAGGCCACTCTCTTCCAATAAATTAGCAATTCATACATAAGATAAATAATGAAATAGGCATTGTGGGAAAAGTAGATCTGCAGGAAGGATTTAAATGAGATATTAGTGACTTTACAAACCAACCCAGAAAACTGCATTGCATGCATAGAGAGTACCATGGAAAAAGCACAGATTGTTGTAGGGGGAAATGGACAAATTGTGCATCAATGCAGGCATCACGGGGGAGCGGGGGGCACGTCATAAGATATAGGTCAAGGCTATTTAGGGCTTTGAAGGCTATTGCAAGAAGCTTGAGCCTGATGTGGTATAGAAGACAGAAGTATTCACATTTAGATTCTGACCACATCACCCGAGGAGCATCAAAGATGATCCTAGTGGTGGTAGCATATATAGACTGAAGTGGAATGATGTGTCACAGTGCTTCTTTCAGTGGACTACTCATATAAGTAGAGTTACACAGGTTAAGACTTTACAGAATCAGGATGTAACTGTAAGTTTCACATAAATGATTTTCATGGATTCAGTTCATATGGCATACACAGATAAATACACAACTAAAAGATGCTAGCTTGGGTTGTAGAAAAAAATGTAATTCTAAGTTAGCCATACATGAATACACAATGCAGCCAGCTTTACTCAGAATATTGCTAGAGTGTGTTTTAAAAAAAAGTCACAAGATATTCTTTGCATCAGACACAAAGACGATTTTCAAAGGCTTGTAATTTGGTTAAATCAAAACTACTTTTCCCAGCAGAACACCCAAAGGTGCACTCTCAATAGTAGCTATTTCCATGCCAAATTTCAGTTTAATATCCCACGCCATTTTGATACTACAATTGTACAAGACCGGGTTGCAATGATTCTCTTTTACTTTTCCAGTAACAAGGATTTCCTCCCCCCCACTTATAAGCAAAAACAGTTTAATCTTATTTTGAGAAGTTTGAACAAATATTCATCATAAAGCACAGACCAAGCTTGAAAAATTACAGCAAGTTGTAAGAGACTGAAAAACGGGGTCAGAACATTAACCATTTTACAACTTTAACTATAGTGGTTGCTGCTGCTTTTAATTTATCAATCAACTTGGCTCTTTAAATTGAAGTTGAGGACTTCCCACTGCCCCTAAACAAAAAGGCCTAGAGATATAGATTCCTTCCCTTGTTTGCAGAACTTTTTTCTCTTAAAGAACAAGTATGAAATTGAGTAACTTTTTCCAACTCAGAAACAATGCATGATAAAGCAATTATGATCTAAAGTACCTAGGCGAGATCACATCAGAAAAAAATATCAGTGTTGACAACTGAATGAAACAAAAATACATTTGATTTCACCAACTGAATATATGAATTTAGTTTCCAATTTACAGAAAACTAAACCATTCTACCAACCTTTCTGTATACAAAGTAAATCAGTTTTCTGTGTACCATGCTATCTTTGCTAACAGAAGCACAATTCATCTAGCAATTGAATTTGGTTTTATCTAATTACATTATCTATTATATTGACTTAGCATACTAATCACTTAAAGGAACCCACCCACTCTGCTGCTAACTATGCACTTTATACTAACTTAGACTGTAAAACTTAGAATATTTAGCAATTTAGTGGACTTCCCTTCTGTTTCAAAAGGGCATAACCCATTCTGAGATCAGAATTGTGTATTTACGACAAGCAGTGCTTCATAAGAAGTAAAGTTGATGATCATTTATTTTATCTTGAAAGACTCCTCAGATTTAGCTAAAACATTAATGCCAAGTTCTGGTCTGGCTTACACTCCAAGACTGCACAAGACACAAATCAGGGGAGAAAGTGGCTCAAAAAACTTTTCTACGCATTATTCTCCATTAAAAATGAGAATCAGTATTTTCCCTTGGTATTTTTTACCCCGCCTTATTGTCTAATCCATTTGAAGTTCTCTAGGATACACCTAGTCAGATAGCAGATGGAAAGTGTAATAGGAATCACTCTCATATAATTACCCACTCTAATGCGGAAATTTAAATTTTCCATTTCATTGCCTTATGACAGACACAATGCAGTCATAAACATGTGTGCCATACAGGGGTATGTTGTATCACCCAGCAGTTCATCGCAATAAGTAGGTCTGTCCCTTAACCCTTTTTTAAAAACAAAACAGTATCTCAGAGACTCGTGAACGATCCCATGCATATGGTGTCAAGTTTAAAGCCTAATTATTACACTTCAAATGTCACTGTTAACTATTCCATTGTTGAGCATTCATATTCAGGTAATGTGTTTATCCACTCTAAAATATAGTGACAGATATTTGGGCAAGATGCAACAGGGGCAGCTAGTTCCTGGCCAGTCTTGCAGGAGTGGAAAATGAAGAATTCAAACCATCCAAAAATCCAGCGTATCCAAATGTATAGTCACCTCTGAACCTGCCCAAAAAGGGGAGGGAAAGCATCATGAACTTTATTTGCCTGTTGAGGACTCCCAAACATTCCAAGATGCCTGAAGCCCCAAATATCCTCTACTAAGCTTTCAAGGCATCCAGCCTTTCTTTTCCCCCACCTTATTTTGGATGACGCTGCCACACATTTACAATATACAAATCTGCAGCACACAAAGTTCGGGGAATAGATAACATTAATTTAGTATCAGAACAGCCAACCAGCAAAGGGAAAATATACTGACTATTCCACAAGAGGAAGGAGAGCAGTGAAAGGGAGGGTACTATCATAATTTTGATGTTTCCATCATATAATGTAGGCCTAACATGCTCATAGAACATGGTATCCTGAAAATGCCCCACACTTACCATGTATTGCTACTATAATATCAGTGACCTACACATAATGTAGGTCAAGGAATTTGAATCCAATAGACAAAAATACAGTTATTTTTCATGCGCTCCAAATACCACATTACTATTACACTTTCTGACAAAGTGAACAACTGGAAAGTTTGACGAATGATGATAGAAAAAAAATGAACATAATTCAAAATTGTTTTTCATCAAACTGTAGCTAGATTCCCGACAAATCTATCCTTTCCTCCAAAATAAGTGTTGAACAAAGCAACAGTTTTCTGCTGGGTCATCCTATCAGAAGCACAAGTTGTGATGAAACCCAAAGGTTTTGTACTGTACTACATTCTTCCCCTCTGATCTGTTCAGCAGGCTGATATTGGAATGTACAATACAATCCTTTCTGGAGACATTTCAAGCCCTTACTCAATTAAAAGAAGAAAAACAGTCAACTAGAATGAAGTGTTATGTGCATGCATGTGACCATAAAACAAAGCTGAAAGGTCTTTATTTTAGACCAGGGGTAGGCAACTTATGGCACACGTGCCGATGGCGGCACGCGAGCTGATTTTCAGTGGCACTCACACTGCCCGGGTCCTGGCCACCAGTCCGGGGGGGCTCTGCATTTTCATTTAATTTTAAATGAAGCTTCTTAAACATTTTAAAAACCTTATTTATTTTACATACAACAATAGTTTAGTTATATATTATAGATTTATAGAAAGAGACCTTCTAAAAACGTTAAAATGTATTACTGGCACACAAAACCTTAAATTAGAGTGAATAAATGAAGACTCGGCACCCGACTTCTGAAAGGTTGCCGACCCTGTTTTAGACCTATCAATTTGATAGTGTCCTTTTAACCAACTATCATGCTGAGATTATGAATCTATGCAAACATGCATGACAGGAATTATATTAAATAATTTTCATTCTAACTTACCTGCTGAGCTTTCTGTAAACACTGTTAACGTCTGTCCTCCCACACTTTGCAAAAGAAAAGGATGTTCTCTGGGTGCACTGACGGAAGCAGGTTTTCCTCCAATATCATTGATACTTGCAAGATCTTCATTCAAAGTAAATGATACCTAACACCCACAATGAACATAAAATTACTACATAGACCTTTTAACTACATAGATTTTAGAGCTTAGGAAACAGGAAGAGAAAGAAAAATGAAATAGTACAATACAATTTTGAATTTTTCAAATATATATCTGGGATCTAATTTTTAATATATTAATCTTCTGAAATATTTTATTCAACATTTTCACATAGGATTATTTATATAATTTACTCAACAGATTTTTATTATCTCCTCTTGATGTCAGAGAACAATTAATTGCATTTCATTATTTTTAAAAATGTTTGAGAACCTAAGATAGTTATACCTTTCAATGTAGATATTTTAAATGTTTCACACAGCTAACTTCACTTTTGAGAAAGTGTCAGCAGCATATATTACAGCCAACTATGAGCCTGATCAAACCCCAAAGACAACTGGAGTCTCTCCACGTATTCCAGTGAGAGTTAGATCAGACTCTAAGATGGTAAATTCAGCTTTTACCCACTGCTGAATTTTTGCTAAGTCTCTTCCAATTCAATGTATTGGTTTGCTCTGGGGTATACTGAATCATGCTGCTACCTTCTCATCTAACATGAAAGGTAAAATACTTGGTAAAGCTATTATTCATTCAATTGCTAATAAAAGAAATTAATCAGCTCCCTTTGCAGATGAAAAAGACCCTCAAACTCCCTAATACTTTATATTTAACAAAACCAATGAATTAATACCAAATATGATATGGTATATTTCTGAACTCTTACTTCTTTGTTTCCAACTTTTTCTGCTTAATATTAATACCTAGCTCTTATATAGCACTTTTCATCAGTAGATCTCAAAGCGCTTTATAAAGGATATTAGCATCATTATCCTCATTTTACAGATGGGGAAACTGAGGCACAAAGCAATAAGTGACTTGCCCAAGGTCACGCAGTAAGCCAGTGACAGAGCCAGTCACCCAGGTCTCCCAACTCCCAGTCCAGTGCTCTATTACAGCACTATAAGAGAAATTTACACTACAAAGAAATATACTTTAAGCAACACTAAAGTTCAAAATATAACACATTTATAGCCTTTGGATTTGATAATTACTTACTTCTGTTCTTCCTTGATTTCTGTAAAAGAAAATATTTAATGTTTTAGTTTCCATAATCTAATTTCACAGGTCTAGCTCCTCTAATAACAGCAGCAACCTCAAATTCTAGCTTTGTTCCCGTCTTCACTCCTGAGCTACCCAAGTACAAATGGGAAAATCAGCAGGAGCAAATAGAAGCAACACAATAGCATATAAATAAATTGATGGAGATTCTCTATTTAGATGTGCCTATTTCTGATATCTATGAAATCAGAAATGGTGTTCTAAAATATATCTACACACACCAGTATAATTTTTTGTAGTCATACTGTTTATAATGTACACTGATAATCACTGGGCAGCTATATTTCAAGCTTCATAGAAAAAAACAACTTGTATTTGCAATAAATATTATGCAATATAAGTAGTACTTCACTGCAATACACTACTGTATACTAAAAATAACTTTTTCAACTTCTGTAATAATTCTAAGAATTCCTACCAAAAAAAATATGGTGAACTACTTACTTGGCAATCCTCAGCTTCCCTACTTCACCCCTTCCTGAAGCTTTAGTCCATTGTTGTGACAAGTACTTGGGGACCTAAATAATGATAAATTTCAGGTAACTATGCAACAGATAGTTATATCAAAGATGTTATTGTTTTTTTTTTATTTAAAAAAATCCATTTTTTATATTGCTTTCTTTACAACAACAATCAAAATACACTGGAGATTAATATTTCTTTGCTAGGAAAGGCAAAGAGAATAAGTCAGCACCAAAACCTGACCATATCTAAACCTTCCAAAGCCTACCAAGTATCACCTAAGATGTATGGCTTAAATGAGACTAAAAGAGGTGATTACACATTGCAGCCTTAACACTTAACAGGACAGCTGAATGACTTGTGGAACAAAAAAGGAAGTCAAGTTTTACTAACCCTAAGGCCATGCACTAAAAAAGCGTTCATGTACAATGTTCTTTTTATGCTCTTCTTTTGACACTCAGAATGCATCAGAAACTCCAGCAAATCCACTTTTATTTTTAGCTTTGTAGCAATAACTTTCTAGGGTTTTACTAGTACAATAAAGTCATTCCATATTTGCATTGATATCCACTGTAGAAAGTATATACAACTAAAGGATTGCATATTTTGTTGCTTATGTAGGCAGAGCTGCACACCCAATGAGAGAGAGAAGCACCCAGCACAATGGGATCCTGATCCATGACTATGGCTCCTAAGTGCTATGGTAATACAAATATTAAATAATAATAATATTAAGCCACAGCCTGTGATGTATAGGCAGTATCAGGGGGCACCAGTAAGATTTATCTGCCAGCAGCACCAATCAGGCACTTGGTGGGCCTGATTTTCCCTCACTTATACCAGTGGAAATCAAGCTTTTCCAGATTTACATTTTCACCAACCTCAATAGGGTTCTGCCTATTGCTGCCTAGAACGTTCTCTGAAATTTTGGAATTGATACAACATGTTTAAAAGTTGTCACGTTACACACAGAACAAAAAAGATGCCATTAAGTGTAGAGCCTCACTTCACCCAGCTAAATCTGTAGTTGTATACTGGATGGGATTATGCAATCTATAGGAAGACAGGAAATGTCTTACACAATAAAACACCCACTATGGTGGATTTCTTTTAATTTTAGCAAGAACAATTAGGAGGATCAGTTTTCAAAAATCTTTTAACAATCCTGAATATAGTGTACAGAAACATTGCAATCTTTTTCTATGAATTCTGATTTTATTTAAATAATTTTAACTTAGATTTTGGAAAAGGGATTCCCCAGTTAAGGTCTGACATGAGGCCATGAGTGAATTAATAGCATCTGAACAAAACATATATAAAATACTTAAGATTCTAGAGACATGATCTTTATTCTTGGCTATGTAGATAGGGATAACACTTCTACCTCACAATTTGTAACATGACCATGTGGGAAAAGAGATGACATAAAGCAATACCATTTCCAAATAAAATACTCCTTAATTAGCACAACCTACTTTTCTATTTTTTGCACTCTAAAACCTCAAAGCCTTAGTTGTACTTACCTTTATTGCATATATTCCTAAAGCACCCACCACTGTAATATCTGGGCTATTATTACCTATTAAGTTGTCTCTCTCTGGGATACTTTCTATATTAGCTCCACACATTCTAATGTGAAACCAGGTTAGCCAGAACTGTTTTCCAACAGGTCTTTTCCCCAGAAATTAATTAACAATTTCAACATTGTTATACCTGGTCTTCATTAGCCAGGGAAATCATGTTGTGAACTGTTGTGGTAAAGCAGCACTACACAAAACATTCTATTGTTTAAAGAGAAATCTTAAAGAGATTCCTAACATGTTGGGGGACCTACTTACAAAAGTTTGCCCTGGTTTAAAAATCCAGTTCAGACCTGAAGCAGGTCTGCTCTCTCTCCTTCAGGTCTGAACTGGATTTTAAACCAGGAGGGTAGGTGGAAACTATGCATAACCCTTCTACAACAGTAGCAAACTATATAGCTGTAATTCACAAGTATTGCAGCAATGGTAGAAAATGTAACATGGGCAGGAGTTGCATGTTTTTACCATTGTATCATCTAGCCTGTGATAACACAGTGGTAAAAATGCCGAACTTATTGTAGTTTGTTGGCTTAAAAAAGGAGCAGTTGTTTGCAGTTACCAAGTTCAGTTCACTACCATCTTCACTACAACACCAAAACACGTTTGAACCATGCTGGGGTACTACAGAGTTGTGGGCTCCCACTATATGAAAGGAAGTACAATGTTACGAAGACCATAGGCTTAGTCAATACCAGCCATGGAAGTCATTTTTAAGTCATGTTAGCACCTATCTGTGACAAATTATGTTTTAAAAAGGTTCTTGCTATCCTTATTCTCCTCTTACTATAGAGAATGCACCTAGGAAAGTTCTGTTGCTGATAACCAATATCAAACTGGGTCCCCTTTCACCACCTCATCTCCCCAAACAGATTTGAAAACTCCTTGGTAAGCGTAGGTAGGACCAACTCATTTTCAACAGGGCTTTATAAAACCTACTAGTCAGAAACTGACACTAAAGAGGAAGTACAAAGACCTGGTGACAAGCCCACCCCTTGACCTTGTTCACATTGAGGATTTTCTGAAATCTTTTGTTGCTGCTCTAGCACCAGTGCTGCCAATGATGGAGGCAATAGCATAAACCAGCCACTGGCTTTTTTACCACTGTGTCATCTTGAAAATCCTAAGTGCAGCTATAACCCCAGGTTCTTAGAAGATAAAGTATGATGTGAATCCTAGCAGGGTGCTGACACTGCTTAGTGAGCCTCATCCATCTCTGCCCAAGGGTGTCTGATAAATCTGAAAAAATAACAGGAGTACTTGTGGCACCTTAGAGACTAACAAATTTATTAGAGCATAAGCTTTCGTGGGCTACAACCCACTTCTACGGCTGCTACTCTGAAACCTGATAAATCTGAAGTCCTCACCCCAGCTACAGGAAAGGAGAATTTTCATTCTCTTCTTCCTGTCACGGTCTCCTGAATGCTACTGGGATGGAGAGACGATTCCGCTATTTCATTCCCTCCCCCCCTTGCCTTGCTAGTGCTCACAGTCTTTGCCAAGAGCAGAGCGGCCGTTACATGCCACTCGTCAGTCTCAGGGTTGCTCCAAAGCGCAGCCACGGAAGGGGCCGGTCTCTGGGCAGTGAGCAGCCGTGGGACCTGCCCGCTGACTCTGCATTGGCTCGCGCGTGGCGAGGTCTCCGCAGCTCCAGGGAGACCACACGAGCCTCTGCTTTCCTGCGGCGACCGTAGGGGCCGCCAAGGGGAGTGGGGAAGTCCCTCCGCCCCCCGCCCCGAGCAGCAGAAACAGGGAATTGCTGCCGCCCTCCCCGCCGCCCCCACAGGGACCCCGCCCCGGCGTATTCTCCAGACGAGCTCCGGTCTCGGCCCCAGGGAGGGAAGGAGCCGCCGCAGCCCGCGGCAGGGCCTCCCTCGCGGGGCAGAAGCCGGGCGGCGGGGGCAGGATGAGTCGCTAGCCCGGCCCGGGGCCCGCGCAGCCTCTCACCTTCACCAGCCACATGCCCGTGTTCTGCTTGGCCCCGGTCAGGTCCAGCTCCCCCTTCTCACTCATGGCGGCCCGGGTCCGGGCGGGGGACGCGGGGACACGCGGAACGAGCTCGAGGCGCCCGCGCACACAATGGCAACTGCATCCACCCGGACAGGAATCAGCAGCTCACCGGTCTACGGCGGCTCCACGCCGCCAAACTTCCGCGGGAAAGCGGAGCGAGGAGGGAGTTCCTCGCCTCCCCCCTCCTCCCCGGGAGAAAAGGGGAAGGGGGAAGCCTGTGGAGTCTCGCGCTTCCTCTGGCTGGCGTGGGGGCGGGGCAGTAACAGGGCCTGAGCCAGGGGCGCTGTAGTGACTGACACCGCACGGTGGCAGCCTGGTCTTCCTGTGCCGCAGGCCGGGGTGTTTCCCTCGCTGCGCGGGGGAGGGAGGAGGCCTGGTGCGCTGCAGTGAGCCCCAGGGCCACCAAGCTGACAGAGTAGGGAGGAGATGAAAAGCAGCCAGTGGCCTTGCCCCCCTGGTGGACTGAGTGAGAGGCCCCTGGAAGAGTTGGGTGATAGACGGTGCTTAATTTGTACTGAAAGAGGTGCCAGGGCTGAAGCAATGGTTTACTTTCATAACTGATATGGCAACCCAGAGGCGTTGGGGTATGAGGTGCCTGGGCTATACCCTGGCACAAACTAAGCAATGGTTATAGAAACCACAAGGTAGCTATTCCAGCAGAAGGAAGTCAGATGCATGCCGTTTTTATCCATAATGGTTAATATTAGTACTGTAAAAGTCAGCCACTTCACAGCATCCCCAGAGCCTGGGCAGGACTGTGGAATCATCAGGCTCTGACTGTCAACTCAGATTTGGCCCAAAATTCAGGTTAAAGGCAAGCTACACTTTGGTGACATTTCCCCAAATTAAATTAAAACCTCAGTGGGTACACATGTATTTAAACAAAGAATCACCCACTGCTGTGTTTGAAACCCAGACATTGCAACTCTAAAAGCCTGAAAGTGAAATGCAGGGCTTGTCTCCCTGGAAACTAGAACCATAATAACGAAGTTATTTGTAATTCACACTTTTAGTTATTTCAGTGCAAGTCTTTGTGTGGACACTCTTATTTGAACTCAGTGGGGAGGATGTTCAGCATCTCAAAAAAGTTCTGCACTTGGCAGGATTTACAGATGATTGTTAACTGAGGCTTAGGGACTGAGTCTGTGAAGTGATGAGCACAAGGAGGTAGGAAGAGCTCAGCACCTTTCAACACCAGGCCCAGTGTGATTCGTCAAAAAGTGAGCAAATGGCAGAGTTGTGTCTAAATAGCTGCCATATGCTCAGACCACACTTACTGCTACTTAAAAATGACATGGAATGAATGTCTTCAACTCAAGTGACATTTTCAATAATCTAGTGTCATGATTCAATAGTTCTAATATACGTTACTGGCACTACCAAACTAATGTAAACATTTAAAAAGAGGAATGTAAACAGGCCAAGTGCACGAGTAATCAACATAACTGACTAAATCGGGATTGTTAGCTAAATTGCCCTGTGAGAAATCATTGTTCTCGTTTAAGGTGCTAAAAACAATAGGGAAGAAATCTCGCAATATCACTGGCTCAGCTGGTGGCTCAGAGCTGAAAGTGACAAGGCAGAGATTTCCTTCCCAGCTATATGCTACAGGCAGCCTTTCCAGTCCTGTTTCCATGGAAACTACATTAAGGGGAGGCAACAAAGTAAGAAGCATTTTCATTAATTCCTAATTTAAAATCCTAACCTTATGTTTGCCATTCCAGTGTTTCGTTCCATAGATGAAGAATCAGAAACCAGTAGGCAGTAGCTGAGAGTTGGAGCTCTGTGTTTCCATTTCTGCTCCTGTTTATATGCAACAAATGTCAAATCAGGGGAAATAAATTACAAGATTTTAAATTACAGAACATTTACTTCTGTTTTTTTCATCCCACCAAGTGGGATCAATAGATTGCACTGTAGCAAGCCTCAGAGAAGGACCTCCCTTTGTCAGTTTCAGGTGCTGTCTGAGGACTGGCAGTGCTGATTTATAAAATAAAAATAATCTACAGACATAAATGGCCTGATCCTGTACCGTTAAAATGAATACGAGTTTTGTTGTGGAAATAAATTACAAAGCATACAATGAATTTATGTATGCTTCCCTCAGACCCAGGAGGATATCAGGGAAAATATGCTTATAGAAGTTAACACTGTCCAACCTGCACTGACAGCAGCCCCCTTGGAGAGGGGAAGGGGTGGCATAGATGCAGGCAGAGAAGTCAATGGCAACAGAGAGGGAGCAGTTCTCAACTATCACCATGGAAGGTGGAGCACGCTGTGGGTCGCAGCTTCCTTTCCTAGTACTGATCCACAGAATTTGGAGACCATGTCCTCTGGCTCCTCAAGGGCTTCAAAATTCTTTGCTCCTGGGGGCAGTATACAGAGGAAACCCCACAAGGTAACCCTGGTGGTGTCCAAGATTTCTTTATCGCAGTCTTGTAAATTTTAGCTGCCGGATGATTAAATATAGTTCTTGTACTTCCATGGCTAACCCTCCCCCGCAAAAAAACAAAAAACAAAAAAAAACAATGAGGATTTGTTTTACAAATGGTGGTATGTTTAATCAAACATACCTTTCCGGTATTTCCCCTTACTTAGAGAACTCCCCAGGAAAGTGAGCTGTTGTGTGTAGAAAGAAAATAAAACATAGCATACAGTAATTGTTATTTTACAATGTAATGGAATGCATATATATATGTAGATTTCTTTTTGCAAGCATCATAGAATTTTCCACATCAGATAAAATTACAGTTAACAAACAGTGCTGACATGGTAGATCAAACAGATCAGATATAATCACACAAAACTGTAAGTGCTGAATTATATTAAACAGATGGCTTTTGACTTGTGTTTGGATTTATAAGCAAAGTAGATGGTGCTCAGTGAATATTAATGAAAAATATTTCCATAATGTGGGTGTGTAACAATAGAACAGAAGAATCTTGCTCTAAGAGGCAGAAGGACAGATTCATAGCCCCACTGGCTCATTTGTACTGCTTTGCTGGCACAGAGGGACTGTAAATTCAACTTTATTGGCCAAATAAGTTTTTCCATGTAGAGAAAACCTCCAGGGTCCTGTAGAACCATTACACCAGTTCTACACTACCCCCCAGTGTTTAGTGTAAAGCTTATTCCCAGAACAAATGGGGGCATAGCCAATGTATTGCTGTGCCTCAGTGATTATGGCTGCTAGTACAGCTCTGGAGACCACAGGCCATTTAGAGCAGCTCTGAAGCTGCTTAGAGTTGTGCTGAGGTCCAAAGCATCCCCAGCCAGCCCCACAATTGTGAAGCAACAAAAAGCCACTTTTATTATTCCCTCCTTTGGGTCCTGTGCCAAGTGCAGCTTGACCAGACCAGAGGAATTGTATTTTGTCAGTTCCTGGAAGATAGCCATATATATTTAAGGAAAGTACAGGGGTAATTCAAATTCAAACATTCAACAAGCTATGTTTTCTTCACTCACTTCTAACTCTTTTCACACCCTTCCCTTAAAACCTGAGGGTCCTGTCTACTCAACGTGGACATTCAGGATCTCCTGGCAGTTTATTTTCCTCTGCTTACCAATTGGGCAATATTTTATTTCCTCCCTCATCTGTTCCTACGTGCAAACTGTCTGTTTGGTGCTTCTCATCTCAAAGGTGGTTGTATCAGTAATGATTGCTGCATGTATGTAGTTCATAAAGGCCTCTGGCAACCTTCAGGATGAGAGATATTATCTAAATGTAAGACATTATTATTAATAGGGCCTTTAAAAAAATTCCACCAGACCTAGGGATGGGCCAGGACCAGAACACTAGATGCACCCACCAGCTCCTCTTCTTGAATTTTGAGGCTCTATCTAGCTATGTTTTTATACATTACCTCTTGCTGTGGAATCTGAGTGGTTTCTGGTTCTGGATGCTGTCATGCCTGAGGCATATCTCTGTAAGAGACCTGTGAAGGGCACTGAATTTGAACACCCCAGAGTTTGGGAAAAGCACATCCCTCGCCCGCGCCGCTTCCCGCAGTCCCCATTGGCTTGGGACGGCGAACCGCGGCCAGTGGGAGCCGCGATCAGCCAAACCTGCTGATGTGGCAGGAAAACAAACTGGCACGGCCTGCCAGGGTGCTTACCCTGGCGAGCCGCGTGCCAGAGGTTGCCGACCCCTGGCCTAAACCATCCAACACAGATGGCTATCCAGCCTCCTTTTGAAAACTTTCAGTGAAGGAGTTTCCACAACCTCCCTAGCCAGTTTGTTCCATTGTCTTACTGTTCTTACAGTTAGGATTTAATCTAAATCTGCTATGCTGTAGTTTGAACCCATTGCCTCTTGTCCTGCCCTCTGTGGCAAGAGAGAACAACTTTTCTCCATTTTTTTTGGCAGCCTTTCAAGTATTTGAAGATCGTACCCAGTTCCTTCAGCCTTTGCTCATATGGCTTGCATTCCATCCCTTTGAACATCTTTGTCACTCACCTCTGGATCCTTTCCAGTTTCTCTACATTGTTTCTATACATTGGTGACCAAAACTGGACACAGTACTCCAGCTGAGGCCTAACCAGCACCAGGTAGAGCGGTACTATCACCTCCCGTGACTTGCATGCTATGCCTCTGTTAATGCAACCCAAAATTGCATTTGCTTTTTTTGCAACAGCATTGCATTGCTGACTCATGTTTACTCATAGTGATCCACCACAACTCCCAGATCCTTCTCAGCAGTGCTGCTGCCAGGCCATAGGTTCATTAAAGATAGTGCTTGATTTATGAATATCACACTACACAATTCCTAACCCCTAAAACTTCAGGGCCAGGTACAGCACTGTCCAGAACAGCACATTGCTGCTAAAGTGCTCTTTCAAGGCCCCCCTCAGCAACATAGTTCCGCGTTGAGCTCTTCTGATGGCCCTTGTGTCTGGCCTTTCAAAGTCAACAGCCACTCCACTTTCGCCCTCCACCCCAGCAGCAACCTTTCCCCCGTTTGCCTCACAGATATTATTCAGGACACACAGGTAGCTGTAACCAGTAGAATATTTTTCTCACTGATATCTAATCTAGTAAGAAAACAATGCCAGCATCCCTTCAATCTTCTGCATGCAAATCCA